AAAAGAAATACCAAAAAAATATTATTGCATACTTAAAGGGGATTTATAGTGAAAATTTATTTTGTTTTATAAGTTCTTGCAAGTGCAATTTTAGTTTTGCAGGTCATTAGTTGATAATTTATTGTATTTTTATAATATTTAATTTAAAATGGATATTTATTTAACGTTAAAGGAAAACTTTTTTATTCAAAAAAAAGGAAAGAGTGTGTGTACAGTTTTATAGTTTTTTTTTTGTAGCCTAAAAGTATGTTAACAGTTTTGTATGTCAAACAAAAGTGAAATGATATTATGGCAACAAATAATAAAAAAATAAAAAAACAGTTTCCAACAATATATTGTTTTTGCTGTTGTCAAACTTGTCTTCTGGCGACACAGTTTCTATATATGATTTTTCTTGTTTTTCACAAAAAAAAAACGCACTGAAAATAGAAGCATACTTTGTGGAGCACTTGTTTAAATGCCGGGTAGTTATAAATTGTTAATAATGGTTTGTTATTTTTTTGTTTTGTAGTAGAACTGCAGCAAATATTTCAATGGCCACTGGTCAAAACATTTATTTTGTTATATAAAACTTAAAAAAAGTAGATTTTTTTTATTGAAAAAATAAAATAAACATTTGCAATTTGTGAATAGTAATTTATAAATATTTATAAAAACTGTAAAATAAAAACATTTATTGCCAATTTCACTTGATGGCAAATAATAACAAATAAAAAATATTTAAATTAATTTGAGAATTTTATTACTAACAAGTTTTTTCCAAGAACTATTAACATTTAAAAACAAACTCATTTAATGTCGTTAGCTACTAGTCAAAGGAAATTGGAAATAATTATTAAAAATCTTTTATTATTTATTAATAATTATAAGCCTTCAAATTTAATTAAAGATTAATGATTACCTTAAATCCTTTTAAATAAATAAATTTAAAATTAAATATTTAACAAGAATTTTAAAATAAGTATTCCTCAATAATTCTCTACTCTAAAATATACAACTCATTAAGTTGATTAAAATTCCTTAGCCTACAATAAGGCTTTCTTTATATGTACACACACTAAAACACCCTCTAGATCCCTACAAATGTATCTTTTTCTAAATGCTCAAGTGTTTAAAAAAATTTGAAATTAAATGTGTTTTCTGCTGTAAAGAAAGAAAAAAAAAAATATAAAGTATAGACAATTTATCTTTGTTCTGACTGTTATGCTTCACTTAATTTCTTGTGAAAAACAATTTAAAATACTGCCTACTTTTTGGGTGATTATGGGAATGTGGAAATGGTTGCTGTTGAAGTAAGTTTGTTTAAGTGCGTTAAGTAGTTAGATGATGAGCTTTTGGTTTTAATAGATATTTAAATTTTGTTTTGTTCTTATATTTTATTTAAGAAACAATTGAAATTTTAATCAATAATCGTTACTTGCAATGTTATTGAGAGATAAATGGGGGAGAGTTTTGAAAGACAAATTGACTGTAGATAGGACTATATAGTCTGGATTATAATATAATAGAGAACACAGACTAGACTATAGAATATACTATAGACTAAAATAGACTATAGACTAGACTATAGACTAGACTTGTTTATATAGCCTATAGACCAGAATACAGTCTAGAGTACAGACTACACTATAGGCTAGACTATTGACTAAACTATAGAATATACTATAGACTAGACTATAGACTAGACTATAGACTAGACTTTAGACTAAACTATAGACTAAACTATAGACTAGACTATAGACTAGACTATAGACTAGACTATAGACTAGACTATAGACTAGACTATAGACTAGACTATAGACTAGACTATAGACTAGACTATAGACTAGACTATAGACTAGACTATAGACTAGACTATAGACTAGACTATAGACTAGACTATAGACTAGACTATAGACTAGACTATAGACTAGACTATAGACTAGACTATAGACTAGACTATAGACTAGACTATAGACTAGACTATAGACTAGACTATAGACTAGACTATAGGCTAGACTATAGACTAAACTATAGACTAGACTATAGACTAAACTATAGACTAAACTATAGACTAGACTATAGAATATACTATAGACTAGACTATGGACTAGACTATAGACTAGACTATAGACTAGACTATAGACTAGACTACAGACTAGACTATAGACTAGACTATAGACTAGACTATAGACTAGACTATAGACTAGACTATAGACTAGACTATAGACTAGACTATAGACTAGACTATAGACTAGACTATAGACTAGACTATAGACTAGACTATAGACTAGACTATAGACTAGACTATAGACTAGACTATAGACAAGACTATAGACTAGACTATAGACTAGACTATAGACTAGACTATAGACTAGACTATAGACTAGACTATAGACTAGACTATAGACTAGACTATAGACTAGACTATAGACTAGACTATAGACTAGACTATAGACTAGACTATAGACTAGACTATAGACTAGACTATAGACTAGACTATAGACTAGACTATAGACTAGACTATAGACTAGACTATAGACTAGACTATAGACTAGACTATAGACTAGACTATAGGCTAGACTATAGACTAAACTATAGACTAGACTATAGACTAAACTATAGACTAGACTATAGACTAAACTATAGAATATACTATAGACTAGACTATGGACTAGACTATAGACTAGACTATAGACTAGACTATAGACTAGACTACAGACTAGTCTATAGACTAGACTATAGACTAGACTATAGACTAGACTGTAGACTAGACTATAGACTGGACTATAAACTAGACTATGAAATACTATAGACTAGACTATAGACTAGACTATAGACTAGACTATAGACTAGACTATAGACTAGACTATAGACTAGACTATAGACTAGACTATAGACTAGACTATAGACTAGACTATAGACTAGACTATAGACTAGACTATAGACTAGACTATGGACTAGACTATAGACTAGACTATAGACTAGACTATAGACTAGACTATAGACTAGACTATAGACTAGACTATAGACTAGACTATAGACTAGACTATAGACTAGACTATAGACTAGACTATAGACTAGACTATAGACTAGACTATACTAGACTAGACTATAGACTAGACTATAGACTAGACTATAGACTAGACTATAGACTAGACTATAGACTAGACTATAGACTAGACTATAGACTAGACTATAGACTAGACTATAGACTAGACTATAGACTAGACTATAGACTAGACTATAGACTAGACTATAGACTAGACTATAGACTAGACTATAGACTAGACTATAGACTAGACTATAGACTAGACTATAGACTAGACTATAGACTAGACTATAGACTAGACTATAGACTAGACTATAGACTAGACTATAGACTAGACTATAGACTAGACTATAGACTAGACTATAGACTAGACTATAGACTAGACTATAGACTAGACTATAGACTAGACTATAGACTAGACTACAGACTAGACTATAGACTAGACTGTAGACCAGACTGTAGACTAGACTATATACTAGACTATATACTAGACTATATACTAGACTATATACTAGACTATAGAGTAGAATGTAGGCTATAGACTAGACTATAGACTAGATTATAGACTAGACTATAGACTAGCCTATAGACAAGACTATAGACTAGACTATAGACTAGACTATAGACTAGACTATAGACTAGACTATAGACTAGACTATAGAATAGACTATAGACTAGACTATAGACTAGACTATAGACTAGACTATAGACTAGACTATAGAATAGACTATAGACTAGACTATAGACTAGACTATAGACTAGACTATAGACTAGTCTATAGACTAGAATATAGACTAGACTATAGACTAGTCTATAGACTAGACTATAGACTAGACTATATACTGGACTATAGACTAGACTATAGACTAGACTATAGACTAGACTATAGACTAGACTATAGACTAGACTATAGACTAGACTATAGACTAGACTATAGACTAGACTATAGACTAGACTATAGACTAGACTATAGACTAGACTATAGACTAGACTATAGACTAGACTATAGACTAGACTATAGACTAGACTATAGACTAGACTATAGACTAGACTATAGACTAGACTATAGACTAGACTATAGACTAGACTATAGACTAAACTATAGACTAGACTATAGACTACACTATAGACTAGACTATAAACTAGACTATAGACTAGACTATAGACTAGACTATAGACTAGACTATAGACTTGACTATAGACTAGACTATAGACTAGACTATAGACTAGACTATAGACTTGACTATAGACTAGACTATAGACTAGACTATAGGCTAGACTATAGACTAGACTATAGACTAGACTATAGACTAGACTATAGACTAGACTATAGACTAGACTATAGACTAGACTATATACTAGACTATAGACTAGACTATAGACTAGACTATAGACTAGACTATAGACTAGACTGTAGAGTAGACTATTGACTAGACTATAGACTAGACTATAGACTAGGCTATAGACTAGACTATAGACTAGACTATAGACTAGACTATATACTATAGTATAGACTACACATTATATGTATATTAGACTATAGTCGAGACTATAGACTATACTATTGTAAAGACTATGGACTCGAATATAGCCGCGACTATCAAAACTCCAGCTTAGAAGATTGACCCGTTCATAATCTAATCCATTCTTAAAGTATGCTTTTCTAAATTTATTTTTCTATAACTGCTTTTCGTATAAAAAGGAGAGTGTTTGCTGCTGCAAGTTATTATTTTTGAGAATCTACACATGTTATCAATTAGAAAACATTTATTTGGCAATTCACAACAGTTTCTGTTTGTATGATTTTTATCTTTTTTTATATATATATTCTCTACCAATTTCAACTTATGTTCTTGCAAACACTATCGTTCTAAAACGACATTTACTACAACACATCTACTACTACAAATTGTAGTAAATTATGCCAAAACATTTATTGATAAATTTTTTGTTTTGTTTTTCTTTCTAGTTCTATCTCTCAACTTTACAAGGTTGTTATACACACAAACACACTGTTTTTAACAGTTTATTTGCATTTTTTATTGGGTAAGAGTAAAAGTTTATTATAAGTATGATAAAAATCTTTAATTTAGAAAATGTAATAATTTTTGTGGTGATTCTGTTTCATAATCTCCAAAAACTTTATAATTATTAAAATATGCCTAAAAATAGGCTATGAATAATTTCATGGCTAGACGGTTGACTAGACTATAGAATAGACTATAGTCTAGACTATAGACTGTAAACGTGACTAAAGACTAGACCATCGACTATAAACTAGACTATAAACTAGTCTATAGACTATGGACCAGACTATAGACTACTCTATGGACTAGACTATATCCTAGATTATAAACTAGACTATAGACTAGACTATAAACTAGACAATAGACTAGATTATAGACTAGGTTATAGACTAGACTATAAACTAGACTAGGCTATAGTCTAGAATATGGAAGACTGTAAACTAGACTATAGACTAGACTACAGACTAGACTATAAATTAGACTATAGACTAGACTATAAACTGGACTATAGACTAGACTATGAACTAGAATATAGACTAGACTATAAACTAGGCTATAGTCTAGAATATGGAACAGACTATAGACTCGACTATAAACTAAATTAGTCTAACTAAACTATAGAATAGACTATAGACTACACTATAGAATAGACTAGATCCTAGACTATAGACTAGACTATAAAGTAGACTATAAACTGAACTATAGACTAGACTATAGACTAGACTATAGACTAGACTATAGACTAGACTATAGACTAGACTATAGACTAGACTATAGACTAGACTATAGACTAGACTATAGACTAGACTATAAACTAGACGAGAGACTAGACGAGAGACTAGACTATAGACTAGACCATAGACTAGACTATAGACTAGACTATAGACTAGACTATAGACTAGACTATAGGCTGGACTATCGAATAGAGTATAGACTACACTATAGACTATATCCTAGACTATAGACTAGACTATAACTAGACTATAGGACTACTATAGACTTGACTATATACTAGACTATAGAATAGACCACTATAGACTAGACTATATACTAGACTATAGACTTGACTATAGGCTAGATTATAAACTAGGTTATAGACTATAAGCTAGAATATAGGCTAGGTGATAATCCTAACTATAGACTAGACTATAGCCTAGATTATAAACTAGGCTATAGACTAGATTATAAACTAGGTTATAGACTATAAACTAGTCAATAGACTAGACTATAGAATAGACTGCACTATAGACTAGACTATAGACTAGACTATAGACTAGACTATAGACTAGACTATAGACTAGACTAGACTGTAGACTAGACTATAGACTAGACTATAGACTAGACTAGACTATAGACTAGACTATAGACTAGACTATAGACTAGAACTAGACCTAGACTAGACTAAGACTAGACTATAGACTAGACTATAGACTAGACTATAGACTAGACTATAGACTAGACTATAGACTAGACTATAGACTAGACTAGACTATAGACTAGACTATAGACTAGACTATAGACTAGACTATAGACTAGACTATAGACTAGACTATAGACTAGACTATAGACTAGACTAGACTAGACTATAGACTAGACTATAGACTAGACTATAGACTAGACTATAGACTAGACTATAGACTAGACTATAGACTAGACTATAGACTAGACTATAGACTAGACTATAGACTAGACTATAGACTAGACTATAGACTAGACTATAGACTAGACTATAGACTAGACTATAGACTACACTATAGACTAGACTATACTATAGTCTATAGACTAGACTATAGACTAGACTATAGACTAGACTATAGACTAGACTAGACTAGACTAGACTATAGACTAGACTAGACTAGACTAGACTAGACTAGACTATAGACTAGACTAGACTATAGACTAGACTATAGACTAGACTAGACTATAGACTAGACTATAGACTAGACTATAGACTAGACTATAGACTAGACTATAGACTAGACTATAGACTAGACTATAGACTAGACTATAGACTAGACTATAGACTAGACTATAGACTAGACTATAGACTAGACTATAGACTAGACTATAGACTAGACTATAGACTAGACTATAGACTAGACTATAGACTAGACTATAGACTAGACTATAGACTAGACTATAGACTATAGACTAGACTATAGACTAGACTATAGACTAGACTATAGACTATAGACTAGACTATAGACTAGACTATAGACTAGACTAGACTATAGACTAGACTATAGACTAGACTATAGACTAGACTATAGACTATACTATAGACTATACTATAGACTATACTATAGACTAGACTATAGACTAGACTATAGACTAGACTATAGACTAGACTATAGACTAGACTATAGACTAGACTATAGACTAGACTATAGACTAGACTATAGACTAGACTATAGACTAGACTATAGACTAGACTATAGACTAGACTATAGACTAGACTATAGACTAGACTATAGACTAGACTATAGACTAGACTATAGACTAGACTATAAACTAGTCTATAGACTAGACTATTGACTAGTCTATAGACTAGACTATTGACTAAACTATAGACTAGACTATAGACTAGACTATAGACTAGACTATGGACTAAGCTATAGACTAGACTTTAGACTAGACTATAGACTAGACTATTGACTAGAGTATAGACTAGATTATAAACTAGATTATAGACTATAGATTATGGACTAAATTATATACTAGACTATAGAATAGATTATAGACTAGTCTATAGTCTAGTCTACAGTAAAGAATCATTTAGAAATGTTTCTATATTCTATTTTCTTTTCCCCTATTAAAAAATAAACCAAATATTTCTTTAAACAGAACTTTCCATCAGATATTTAAAATAATTTCCAATTATGATGCAAACTTCCAATAAAACAAATATTCATACAACAGATGTTATAAATTATTTTCTACTTCATTATTACACATTTACCTTCAAAATATGCTTGAATTTTAAAAAAGGTAATACCAAGAAAACACTTCTAACATGCCAAGCAGAGAACCAAAAAAAAAAAAAAAACAAGCCTACTTTTAGGAGGTTTTTACAAAAACATTTAACATCTTGTGTGTGTTATGTTCACACAGCTACAAATTCATATGTATGAGTATAGTATGTAAATGTATTAGGAATATTTACTCGGCGCACGGAAACGAGAGCATAAATGGAAATTGAATTTACTTTTTAAAATATATTTTTTTCCTTAGATTACCAACCATTTTGAAAGTATACAAATAAGCCCTCACCTCAGTGCAACTAAACTGTATGGAAATTTGAAGTAAATGTTAGTGGATTGTGTTTTTTTACCCAGTCAGAGTTTTAGTTCTAAACATGCATATTTACACACACAAACATTCAATACATGTGTTTTTCTTATATAATATTTTTTTCTTTTGATTTTTACCAAAAATTTCAACTTTATTGAACTTAAGCATCAAAAATTCTTTTATTTTTATTAGTTTCCTTTCATTTTTATCGTTCACATGTAAGGGCAGGAAAAAAGACTGCCATAAAAATATCATTTATTTAAGTTGTGTTTTTGTTGTCATTTGTGAATGTATTTTGCATACTTTCAGGAGCCTAATATAATCAAAATAGTTTACATGTTGTTAGGATGAATTGTGTGGGTTGCTTTTTTTTTTGAAGTTCTTTGCAGAAAAGGAATGTTAAGTCAGAAACCCGCATATTTGCATAAATATCTTTTTGATAGGCTTGTTTTACACAATGTATATACACACATACATACATTCATGAGTATAAACAACTACACATATGAATGTGTTTATTTTTAGATGTAATATTAAATAGCTAATGTATATGATAAATACAGAATTTGTGGTTAAAATGAGCTATAGTCAAAACTACAGAAGAGACTATAGACTAGACTATACACTAGACTATATACTAGACTATATACTAGACTATAGACTACACTATACAATAGACTATAAACTAAACTATGGCCTAGACTATAGATTAGACTAGACTATAGACTGGACTATAGACTAGACTACAGATTAGACTATAAAAAGACTGTAGAAAATACTATAGACAAGACTTAAACTAGACTATAGACAACACTATAGACTAGACTACAGACTAGACTATAGACTAAACTATAGACTAAACTATAGACTATACTATAGACTAGACTATTGACTAGACTATAGACTTGACTATAGACTAGACTATAGACTAGACTATTGACTAGACTAGACTATTGACTAGACTGTAGACTAGAGCACAGAAAAGACCATAGACTAGACTATACTATAGACTAGAGCACAGACAAGACCACAGACTATACTATAGGCTATACCATAGCCTAGCCTATAGACTAGACTATAGACTAGACTATTGACTAGACTATAGACTATTGACTAGACTATAGACTAGAGCACAGAAAAGACCATAGACTAGACTATACTATAGACTAGAGCACAGACAAGACCACAGACTATACTATAGGCTAGAGCCTATAGACTAGACTATAGACTAGACTATACACTAGACTATAGACTAGACTATAGACTAGACTATAGATTAGACTATAGACTAGACTATAGATTAGACTAAAGTCTAGACTATAGATTAGACTATAGACTAGACTATGAATAGACTATGACTAGACTATGACTAGACTATGACTAGACTATGACTAGACTATGACTAGACTATGACTAGACTATGACTAGACTATGACTAGACTATGACTAGACTATGACTAGACTATGACTAGACTATGACTAGACTATGACTAGACTATGACTAGACTATGACTAGACTATGACTAGACTATGACTAGACTATGACTAGACTATGACTAGACTATGACTAGACTATGACTAGACTATGACTAGACTATGACTAGACTATGACTAGACTATGACTAGACTATGACTAGACTATGACTAGACTATGACTAGACTATGACTAGACTATGACTAGACTATGACTAGACTATGACTAGACTATGACTAGACTATGACTAGACT